CTCCTCCTCTTGCTGTGCCTCTGCTTGCTGAGGAGGGTGAAAGTGCAGCAGCATCCACACATGCACCCGCACCCCAGAAGCGAGTGGATAGTGTGGTCTGGGATCATTTTGAGCTGGCAGATGATCCGATGTATGCTATCTGCCTGCACTGCAGAGCCCAAATCAGCTGGGGCAAGGGAACAAAACACATGAGCACCATGGGGATGCTGATGGATCTCCACAGGCATGGGCAACTGGTGCCACCTTAGTAAGGGGGGGCATGTGCCCCACCTGTGACCAGTCCTGCGAACTGGGGGGGAGGTCCCCCACAGGTGATCCTGCAGACTGGGGTGGGAGGTTTGCCCAGGTGATCCTGTGATGGTCAACCACTGCGGCCAATCGCTCTGATCGCTGCAGCTGCTTGTGGGAGTGGCTGTGGCTGCTTCTGAGAGCGAGCACCGGCTGATCATTGCAGCCACTCTTGGAAGCCGCTGAAGTGATCACAGCAATCAGTCGGTGCTTGCAGAAGAGGCACCGGTGCTCCTGCCTGCCCCCCCGCCTATCACCTAAGTGGCAAGCATGGCCAGTCAGGTGGTGCACCGGCACTCTCAGGGGGTGCATGTGCACCCCTCATGCACCCCCTACACATTGCCACTGTCTGCAGGCACCACCCCCTTGCTCCTCCTCAGCCTGGCACTAGTAGGAGCATGCCCAAAGGGAAGTCCCCTTCCTGCTTCAAAGTCCCCGTCCCTCCAAAGCAGAGGCAGGTCACCCTGGAACAGTGGGGGAAAGGCGGACAGAAAGTGGGGCACATTGCAAGAGTAAGAGAAATCAACCAGAGTACTGGGGAGATGTTTGCTGTTGATGGCCAGACCTTCTCCTTAGTTGGTGGCCAGGGTGCAGGTGGCTCATGGCAGTTGTGGCCCCATCTTACCAAGCGCCTGCATGTACCACCTTCAACAGGGCAGTGGTGCCCTCCCTGTATGAGGCATACAGGGAGTACTTGAAGGAGGAACTGCACAAGGCAGGTACACAGATGGCCTTACACTTCACCTCAGACATCTGGAGCAGCTGGGGTGCCAATCACACCCATCTCTCCCTCACAGGATACTGGTGCAACCAGTCAGGCCATTGATGAGCTCTCCTTCAAGCCAAGGTGATGGATGAGTCCCACATGACAACAGAGATCATGGTGGCCATGAACTGCTACTGCTTGGTGCAGGGGTGGATCGCTGGGCAGGGTGAGCTCACCCACGGGTTCATGGTCACCAACAATGGTGCCAATATGGTCAAGGCAGTCCCTGATGCCACCTTTGTTTGTATCAAATGTGTGGCACACAAGTTCTACCTCATTCTCAGGGACTCTTTGGAGGGACTCCTTGGAGGGGGTGATGGTGCCAGCACCACCAGCAAACTCATTTCCAAATGCAGGAAGGTGGCAGGCTACTTCCACTGGAGCATCAAGGGGGGCAAGATGCTGCAGGACAAACAACCAGAGCTGAACATCCCACAGCACAAAATGATGCAGAATGTGGTGACTCAGTAGAACTCCAGATACCTGATGCTTGAGAGGATGGTGGAGCAACAGAAGGCCATCCATGAGATGGCCTTGCTCAGGGAGATTGGGATCAGTGGCCTCCTGAACAGAACTAAGTGGGATACCATCTCCCAGATCTTGGTGGTCCTCACGCCCTTCCTCAAGGCCATCAAGACCCTCAGCACTGGTGATGCCCTCCTTAGTCAGGTGATCCCCATAGTGAGGGAACTTCAGAGTCAAATGGAGAGCCTCCAGGGGATCAGTGCTCTTGGCTGGGGCAAGCTGCTGTCACCAGATGTCCAGGCACTGGTGAGGCGGCTGAAGGAGGGCATCAGGAAATGGCTTGATCCCTTGCAGTCCAGTATGGTCCACATGCTGGCAGCCACATGTGACCCGAGGGTGAAGGGCAGTGTATGCTGCAGCCAAAGCTTGAATCAGTAGATGGAGGTGCTAGTGAAGATAGGGAGGTAGAAAGTTGGAGGTGGGGGGACATGGAAGAGGGGGATCCTCTGTCCCATGCTAGCACACCATCCACCAGCCAGTCTTCTCTTCCACCACAGGTGCTGCCCATGTGGGCCAAGTGCTTGGCTTCCATGGTGGGGTCCAGAGGCACCAGACCCCACCATCAGGCAGGTAGTGCTCAGGCCTTGGTGGCCTGTAAAGTGGTTTGTAAATTGTTCCCTCTCAGGACCCGGCATGAGAAACTGAAAACAGAGTGGGTTTTTTGGGAGGAATGTGCCCCTACAGGTAGTTGGGTATTGTTGTCTTTGATAAATTCTGGGGGTACTGGAGATTGTTGGCAGGTTCTGTGTTTTGAGCTGTAGGAAGTTGGCTTCAGTTCTGGTGACGCAGTTAGGTGCTTGTTTGAATTTACAAACCACTTTTCAGCACCGGGCCTATGAATTTCACTCCATCAGCCTCCTAGGTATAGAAACTCATGGACTCAATATAGACAGTGGAATTCTGACACACTACAACCTGCTGGACGTCTGACTTCCCAGGTACCTCTGCACCTTTACCTGCATTGCTACATCCCTTTTCCCCCTCCACACCCCACCCTGTCCCTCACCCCCTGATGCCTCGATTTCTATTTTTACTGACAGTCTTTCTTGCCTGCATTGCATGCCAGGCCAGCCTCTGCACTCTTCACTATTCCTTCCGTCCAGGAACAGCACACACCCCAACTGCAGGTACTTACTCAACTTGAGTAAGTTTTTCAACCTGAAAGCTTGCTAAAATATATTTCTGTAACTAATCTATCATTTAATTTGTCTGCTAAAACATACCAGATTAGATTGAGTCAAAGGAAAGGACCTTGTCTGCCAGTGCCAAGTCCTTAGACCAACACCCCGAGCACCTGACTGGAAAGAGCCAGGACCCTGGGCACATCTAAGCACCAGGGCTTGGGCTGGCAGGGGAGTCCTCTGGCAGCTGCTGAAGAAGGAGCTCCTGATGGAAAGGAAAGAAAGGCTCTAGTAGTCTGTGACAGTTTGGCTGCCTGAGATACTGCTAGTGCTACTGTGCTGCTGCTGCTCACTAAGTTATTATTTTACTTGTTGTTATTTAAAGTGGTGGATCGGACTAAGGCTGTAGAGGAGGAGGAGACCTCATTGAGGCACACTGCCGTGTCATGTAGAGGCCCCAGCTCCCGTAAGGGTGCACCTTAACGTGCACACAGTGTCACCCACCCATGTCACGAGTTTTGCCTGTCAGCAGCCTGAAGTGCAGGGTCCCAGAAGCCAGAGCCCCCTGCACCTATCTCCTTGCCAGCTGACAGGCTTCATGGCTTCACCAGGGGCTAGCAAGCCCACAATTTTTACCCTACTGTGCCTTAACACACACATGTGACACAAGTTTTGCTTGTCAGCAGCTTGAGGTACAGTTTCCCAGAAACCCCTGCACGTATTTCCTTGAAACTTGACAGGTATCATGGCCTCAGAAGGGGCTACCATCCCTACAACTTTCATCCAAAATCAGGCAAGAAATAACAAAGTTATAGGCAGTTTTGTGCTTCCCCATTATAGCCTATGGGAGAAACATCAAAACAGCGTCGAAACCACAAAAATGTTTCAACGAAATGAAATGGAACAGCAGTTTTGAAACAAAATGAAATTTGAAATGAAACACTATTCCATTGAAATGTTGAAACAGAAATAAAAATGGAACAGTGCCATTTCGCAGAGCCCTACTGAATATGCCTATGGTAACTAACTATATTAAACTAAAAATGAAGAAAAATTTTGAAAAGCTGAATGCTTTGTGTGGGGGGCATTCTGGTTACTTAGAGGATGCACGGAATTTATTCTTAATTTCCTGTTTAATGTAGTATTGCTTCTGTAATTGAATGAAAAAGCTAATATCAAAAAGAAGAAATACCACAAGATGTCACTATAACTCAAGTAACCAAGATACATTATAGCAGAGATGCTGCTCTCTATGCAGGAAGTTTTCGTACTTTAAGAAAAAAAAGAAAGGTTTTCACCATTTACAATTCTTTTTGAGGGTCATCATTGTGTTTCATTCATATCATTCATGTGTTTCATATGTATCATTTGTATCAGTTTTTACTGTTTCTTAACTTCAAACAGAATGTCTTAGACTGTCTCATGGCATTTAAATGAGGAAAGCATAGGCCAAATAACTTTCTTGGTTTCAGGGCAGGGATATCTCAGTAAACACATTTTAATGTGAAGGGAACTTTGTATATTGTAGTTTACATCTTCAAAAGAACTCAGGGTCAGATACTAATTCTCTGTTGACTTGTATTGTAAAATTATTTATTTAAATATACCTAAAGTGAGTAATAAGTCAAAATGCACACAAACTTCCTGGATATTTCCAATACAAACGAGACACATAATCAATACAAGAGAGACACATTGATCACTTTCATTGATGCAGCCTGCAGAGAATTAATCAATCATATCTGAACAGTCAGATAGCTGACTTGCATTTTTGACAATACTAATTTATTTACCTTATGTCAGTTTTTAAAAATATAAATCCTCAGTTAAGTGGGCATATTCAGATTAGTAGAACCACAGATTGCTTCCACTGCAAATTCCAGGAGTGTGTCTAGCCTGTCTGTTTCCGTGACCTTAGAAAAAGTTTTTGCCAAGCTAGTAAGATAACATAATTTGGAGAAGCTTGAAGGTTTCAGTTTCCAGAAGATGCCCCTAATCTAGAGTTATCCTAAATTTCTAGTTACCTTTAAGTCCAGAAACTACTAACTGTGCAGTGCAAAATAACTCCATTGAACCTCAGCATTTCTGTCCTTAATTTTAAATATTGTACTAAGAGACAGAAAAAGGGCATAGGGCTGCTTTATGGATGCTACAGAATTATTTAAACATAAGCAGTGATTTTAACCAAACTATTTAATGCTAGACTGCACTACTATGGATATAATTACAATAGGCAGTTTATTTTGCTCCAGTTTAGCAAGACATTTAGTGTTTTCTTACCAGGATATACATTTGTGGCTACTCATGGAGAACAATTTAATGCAGTCTTTAATTTGTGTATCTGTTGGGTGGTCTTTCCTCCCCCAAAAGAGGCAGAAAAATAAGTGCTTAATGCCAAGGATGGAGAAAAAAAGAAATCTTTTCCTTCTGGCTGTGGAGGTATTCCAGAGTTATGACAACAGTCTGGATGCTGGTGGGTTCGTGTAGCAGAAGTTCTTCCGGCCTTGGTTCTGGTCCTCCCCCGAGTCATCCTCTATTGTGCCTCAAACATTCTGGGTGCTTGCACACGTGATGGGGGCTTAATCCCCTAAATTGAAATGGTGGATTTTTAATTGTGATGATTAAAAACTCATTGTTTTAATTAAGGTGCTTCTGTCACTCTTATGGCAAGGACCTGAATTTTTTTTTCCACAAAGACTGCCTGCCTCTCCAGCAGCCAGGGGGTGACCTGCTGCCAGGCCAAGCAGGCCCTGAGCTGTGGGGGCCCACAGAACTTTCCCTCTGCAGCAGCAACACCCACTGGGTCCACCCAGGTGGGCTGCTAGTGGGCTGGGGACTGCCTCAGCTTGGAGGCACCCAATCCAATGCTTCCATGAGTCTGCCTGGGCTTCCAGTGCATTGTGCACTGTTCCTGCCACCTGCTCTGGCTGCCACCACAGCCAGCTGCAAGGCAACCTGTTCCCAGGTGGTCCCTGGTGGTGGGAACAGTGCATGGGGCGCTGCTCCTCAAGTGCGCTTGGGGAAGAGTTGGATCCAGTGGGTGCTGCCTCCAAGCTAGGGAAGTCCCTAGCCCACTAGCAGCCTGCACCATGGAGGGAAAGACTAGGTCCCTGCAGCTCAGCAGCCACTCAGCATGCCAGCAGCTCATGCAAGCAAGCTCCACCAGAAAAAAAAAATTGGTGAGGGGCCTGATCCATTTTTTTATCATGGAGCCTGCCTGCAGCTGGGGGGCAAGTTGCTGGTGGGCCATGACTTGTGGGGGCCCCAGTCCTTCCCTCTGTAGTGGTGGTGCCCCTTGGGGCCACCCAGACAGGCTGCTAGTGGGTTGGATGCTGCCCCAGCTCAGAGGCAGCAGCTGCCAGATCCAAGTGGGGGAGTGGGAGGGGGGAAGATTTCTTTTTGATCAATTTCTACACCAATCTACTGTATTTCATTTCACTATACCAGGTTTTCTTTTGGGAAAAAATGTTTCAAAATACATATAATGACAAGATACATTAAAGATTGAAATCCTTCTGGATCTGAAAAATATTGCAAAAAAAGGCCAATAGAATATTGGGTTGTAATTAACAGGACTTATTGCTTGTAAGTCAAGGGAAGAAGTGTTTCTTCCACTCTCTTCAGCATTGGTGAGGCCTAACTTGGAGTACCTTATCCAATTTGGGCATTGTACTTCAAGAAAGACATGGGCAAATTAGAAAGAGTCCAGTGCAGAGCAGCAAAAATGATTAGTGGTTTAATCACTAATGACTGATAATAAAATGTTGAAGAACTAGGGTTATTCAGCCTGGAGAAGAAGACCGAAGAGAGATTCAATCAGCTATTAGATAAAAGCACCGAAAAACCCTGCTGAAGTGCATGGGCTATACAGACACTGGGCAAGCAAGATCAAACTGATGCAATTCCTCTTCTGGGCATGCACTGCATTTGGTGTGGGGGTACACCAAGCTGCAAATAAGTGCTCGGGGTTTTTTTCCACATCTGTAAAAGCCCCAAATGCCTAAAGGGTGGTTATAAATAGGATGGTGATTGACTATTCTCTCTGGTTGCAGGGACAGGACAAAAATAATGGTCTTACATTCCACCAAGGGAAATTTAGGTTGGTTATTAGGAAGAACTCTCTAATTGTAAAGGTGACTAAGCACTGGAATAGGTTATCTGGAGATGCTATGGTATTTCTATCTTTAGAAGTTTGTAAGAGCAGGTTAGACAAACTCAGAGGCATAACAAGGCAACCAGATGCCTGGGGCAATGTGGGGGCAGTGGCAACTTCTGGTTGTTGCTGTTCTGTTGTTACTATTACGTGTCTGTGGTGGCAGAAATTAATTTTGCACCTTCACAAGTCAGTGCCCAGGGCTGCTGCTCTGTTCACCTTGTCCTAGTTATGCTACTAGAAAACACGTGACAAGAATGCCACAGGAAAGCCCAAGCCTGAGGTGAGGCCGCCTGAGGTTTAAACAGGGATCCTGCCTTGAGCAGGGGGTTGGACTTTACGGTCTCTTGAGTCCCTTCCAGCCATAATTTTCTGAGATTCTATGATCCCTAATTCAAACTAGTTGGAGAAGTGGCTGTTTCACTAGGGAACTGTTGATCATGCACCTATTACGTTCCTTTACGTGTTTATTTTTAAAGAAGGTGAAATAAAGACAACAGCAAAGATACTGTACCTAGCTTTACTTCAAACTGACTTCAAATATGCTTTGCTGATATATCATAGAATCATAGAAAATTAGGTTGGAACGGATGTCAGGAGGTCATCTAGTGTCCCCCCCGCCCGCTGCCCCCCACCCCACTCAAAGCAGTACAGTCCCTAACTAGATCATCCCAGGCAGGGCTTTGTCGAGCTGGGCCTTAAAAACCTCCAAGGATGGAAATTCCACCACCTCTCTAGGTAACTCATCCTAGTGCTTCACTGCCCTCCTAGTAAGAAAGTTTTTCCTAATATCCAACCTTTTGCTGCAACTTGAGACCATTGCTCTTTCATTTGTCGTCTGCCAACAGTCTAGCTCCATCCTCTTTGTAACCACTCTTAAGGAACTTGTAGGTTGATATCTAATCCTGCTCAGTTTTTTCTCTAGATTAAATAAACCCAGTTCCCTCAGGCTTATCTCAAAAGTCATGTGCCCCAGCTCCCAAACCATTTTTGTTGTTACCTGCTGGACTCTTTCCAACTTGTCTGCATCCATTCTGTAGTGGGGGACTCAAAACTGGACATAGTACTCTAGATGTGGCCTCACCAGTGCCAAACACAGGGGAATAATCACAGTTTCATAGACATTAGGAGCTGGAAGGGACCTTATGGATCATCAGGTCCAACCCCCCTGCACTTGGGCAGGAAAGACCGCTGAGGTCAGATGACCCCAGCAAGACGCTTTTTGAAGATCACCGGGGTGAATAACTGTACCACTTCTGGGGGAAGCCTGTTCCAAACCTGCACCAGTGCCAAACACAGGGGAATAATCACAGTTTCATAGACATTAGGAGCTGGAAGGGACCTTATGGATCATCAGGTCCAACCCCCCTGCACTTGGGCAGGAAAGACCGCTGAGGTCAGATGACCCCAGCAAGACGCTTTTTGAAGATCACCGGGGTGAATAACTGTACCACTTCTGGGGGAAGCCTGTTCCAAACCTGCAGCACTTGGCTTGTAAAGAAGTTTTTCCTTATGTCTAGTCTGAAGTGATCTTCAATCAGTTTGTGCCCATTGCTTCTTGTCCTCCCCTGGGGGGTCTTGGTGAATAGATACTCTCCCAGGCCCTGATGCATGCTGCTGATATACTAATAGGCTGCCACAAAGTCCCCTCTGAGTCTTCTCTTCTCCAGGCTGAACAATCTCAAATCTTCCAGCCTCTCCTTGTATAATCTGGTCTCTAGGCCTCTAATCATGCGCATGGCCCTCCTTTGGACTCTCTTGAGCTTCTCCACATCCTTCCTGAAGTGTGGTGCCCAGAACTGGATGCAGTACTCCAGCTGCAGTCTCACCAAGGCCGAGTAGAGTGGGAGGATAACATCCCTAGCCTTGCTCAAGATGCCTCAGTAGATGCATGCCAGTGTTTGATTAGCTCCACCAGCTACAGCATCCTATTGGTAGCTTATGTTCATTTTGTGGTCTATCATGACACCCAGGTCTCATTCAGTTGTGGTGCTGGCAAACATAGCACTGCCAAGCCTGTAAGTGTGTTGTTGATTATTTCTCCCCAGATGGAGTACTTTCATTTCTCTGTATTAAATGACATCAGGTCCATCCACCTTGCAAGCCTGTCCAGGTCAGCCTGTATTGCCAGCCTGTCCTCGAGCATGACCACACTGCCCCATAGTTTTGTGTTGTCAGGGAATTTTGCCAGTTCACTTTTAATACCTGTATCAAAATCATTGATGAACATGTTGAAAAGCACTGGTCCAAGCACTGAACCCTCAGGGACAACACTGGTCACCTTCCGCCATGTTGACTCAGTTCCATCAATCAATACTCTCTGGATCCTACCTCAGAGTCAGTTACCAAGCCACTGGACCATAAAATAGTCGATGTCACATTTTCCCAATTTTACCATGAGGACATCATGTGAGACCAGGTTAAAGACCTTTTTGAAGTCCAAGTATATGACATCAACCTCATTTCTCCTATCAAGGTGGTGAGTTACCTGATCATAGAAGGAAATGAGGTTGGTCTGATTATGTCTGTCAATCTGCTGGCAATGCTCCTACTAATGCAGCCTAGTATGTCATTAGCTTTCCTGGCAACAGTGGCACACTGTTGACTTATATCCAGCTTATTGTCCTCTGTAACCCCCTGATCCTTTTCTGCAGAGCTGCTGCTTAGCCAGTTAGTCCCAAGTCTGTAGCAGTGCATGAGATTCTTCCATCCTAAATGCAGGACTTTGCACTTTTCCTTGTTGAACCTCATGAGATTTCTTTTGGCCCAATCCTCCAATTTTTTTTAGGTCAGTCTGAATCCTATCCCTACCCTCCAGCATATCTACTACTCCCTCAGCTTGGTGTCATCTGTGAACTTCCTGAGGGTGCAGTCCATCCCATCTTCCAGGTCATTAATGAAGATAGAGACTGAAAGAGACTTGGGGGTCATGACTGACCACAAGATGAACATGAGCCACCAATGTGATACCATAGCCAGCAAAGTGAACAAAACACTGGCTTGCATCCACTGATGTTTCTCAAAAAAGTCCCAGGATTTCATCCTCCCATTGTACTCAGCCTTGGTGAGGCTGCAGCTGGAGTACTGCATCCAATTAAAAAAGGACATGAAGAAGCTTGAAAGAGTCCAGAGGAGAGTCATGTGTATGATCAGAGGGCAAAGAGAACAGGCATTATGAAGAGAGGCTGAGAGCCATGATATTCTTCCACCTGGAGAAACAAAGGCTCAGGGGTGACTTGGTGGCGGCCTATAAGTACATAAGGGGTGTTCACCAAGGTATGTGGGGAACACCTGTTCACCAGAACATCCCAAGGGATGACAAAGTCCAACGATCACAAATTCCTCCAAGACTGTTTTAGGCTGGACATAAGGAAAAACTTACTTACTGTCTGAGCCCGAAAGGCCTGGAATAGACCCATCCCCAGAGGTGATGC